CCCCCCCCCCCCGAGAATGTAATCCAGTTGAATGTGATTGATTTGGTCAGAAGCACAAACCTCACACAAATTATTATTATGACGACAGTAACTAACCATCATCTTCATCAACTGCATCTGGCCTGGGAATGAAAACAGGCTCCGAGGAAAAACAGTCTCCTCCAGTCCACTCAATCTTCTGCTTTGTCTCCGCATCAAACTTTACAATCTGCAAAAAACAGTAAGTGCTCAATACTGATTGCAAAATGTTCCTGCAGCTCAACTGATAGAATATGCCACCAGCCTTGCCACGGACATGGGTTTGATTTTTATGGAATACATTTACTGACAAAATGTTTACTTTGGAATTTTGCAAGGTTCATAAATGGACTGTAAAAATGAAAATGGTCGATACCTTTGTGGCCACTGGGGATATGTCCACACAACACATGTACGAATATCTGTACTTCTTTCCATTGAAATTGTAATTAATTCTTGGAAGTTCCACACCTACATGAAATACATCCATTTAGAGGTTAAGAGAGCCTAAGAATTAAAATAATAATGAAAAAAAGTGTCACCAGCCACTTTTAGCTACACCCGTTAACACACATATCTAATAAGCCAATCACATGGCAGCCAGTCAATACATTTAGGTACTGTACGTAGACATAGTCAAGGAGATCTACTTAAGTTCAAACGGAGCATCTGAATGGTGAAGAAAGGTGATTTAAGTGACTTTCAACATGGCATGGTTGTTAGTGCCAGACATGCTGGTCTGAGTATTTAAGAAACTGCTGATCTACTGGGATTTTCATGCACAACCATCTCTTTACAGAGAATTGTCCGAAAATATCCAGCGAGCGGCAGGTCTGTTGGCGAAAATGCCTTGTTGATGCCAGAGGTCAGAGGAGAATGGCCAGACTAGCTTGAGCTGATAGAAAGGCAACAGTAACTCAAACAACACACAACACGTCGAACCTTGAAGCAGATGAGCAATAGCAGCAGAAGACCACACCTGGTGCCACTCCTGTCAGCTAAGAACAGGAAACTGAAGCTACAATTTGCACGGGCTCACCAAAATTGGACCATAGAAGATTTGGAAAAAGGTTGCCTGGTCTGATGAGTGCAGTAAACGGTAAAACTATTTGCATTACAAACTAGTCCGTTTATGATTATAATGATACAACGAAAAAAATGTGATAAATATCCGTTTGCAATATAAAGCAGCATAACGGACTGTTTTTGTAGGGATAAAATAACCGGAAGTGAATGAAACCGGAGGCCTCACACATTCAAGTTACAAATGGACACACTTGCTCTTACGTTAAAAATACACAACACACATACAGAGTGGACTTAAGTCCCACAGTGTCATTAGCTTACCATCACAGAGACCCTCGCCCTGACACAGAACCTTCCCCTCTTTCTCCTTCACAGCACTTGCTGTCGTGTATTTAAGTTTGACCAGATCTTCACCCGTCTCACCCTGGGTAAGAAAAGAAAAAGGATCTAAATAATCAGTTTACTGTCTATAGTCAAAAATAAAGTAGTTTTCCATTGATGGAAATACCAGTGTTTGCAGAGCAGCTAAAGGTTCAAGTTTTTAAAACAAACCAAACCAGAATGTTTCACAAATATGAATGCAGCACTGCCTTGCAAACACTGTGAACAACACAACATACCATGTCGCTCAGGGGCAACACAAATCTTTTGCACTTTGGCTTGCAGTACATTGTATCTGCTCCCATCTGCTCCTTCAGCTTGTCCAGGTAAAACATTTCATACAAGCTGTTGTCATCATAGCAGATCACATCAAAAACAACATGGCCATCATCTTCAAAGGCATTGACTTGATGGTAGACAGCCATCGCACCCGTGTAGAATTTGATCCCAACTTCCTTCTTTGTCTTTCGGTCAATAAGGTGAATCAGGGTCTGATGAACGTAAGTGATGAAAGAAGAGTTTAAATATGCAAAGTAAACCGTAACATTGTCCAGCTGACAGACACATGTCTAGACTACACTCAGAGATCTGAAAGAGTTCATTCTTACACTGTCTTCAGCGTGGAATTTCATGCAGCTGGCCCAGTTGACTCCCCTCAGATAGGCTGTGGCCATTTTGAGGACATCCAGCTTTAAGGGCTGCTCGATAAAGACAAAGTAGTTGTCAGTCATGCCAAAGCTGTGGTAATAACTGGGCGTGAGGAGGGAACGGCAGGGCACGGTGCACACGACCTCAGCGCTTTTCAAAGGTGGAGACCCGTCTGACCCACCTGATTAAACAAAACAATTGTTGAGGGTTAGTAGTTCTTAGCATGTCATGTAATTAATGATTGGAGAAACGGAGCTTTTCTAAACTTCTTGCAAGTGATTGCAAGAACGGGTTGAAATTAAAAATCCATCTTGATGGGTTTATTACAAACACGCAGCTGTTCGCTTTACAAAACATTCACTGATGGACTGGAATCGTGTTGATTACTTGTGGGTTTTTGTTTTTATCAGCTGTATGAACGCTCATTCTGACGGCACCCATTCACTGCAGACCAATTGCAAAGGTTTTCTTGATTTGAAAGTGTAATTTATTAAATATAATCTACAAATCATCAAATACCATTAAATATGAAGAGTTTATATAATATGTGTTATTTTATTAATTTGTAGGACTTGTTTGTGTTTTATTGAAGGCTTGGTAATCAGACCATTAAGAGAAATTAACTACTACAATCTTTTTTTAAACATACAAATGTGAATGAAAGAAAGGTCTGCATTATCTAAGATCATTTAAAAATCATATTGATACTGTACAGGTACACTGAGATGACCCCTAGTGGTGAACCACAGAAATGGACATTTATGACTAAATCAATCCTTGTTAAAGGCAGAGTAAGTGATTTCTGGTAGCCAATGTTGATATTTGAAATCACCAAAA